TCATCCACCATCAAGATCTGCAAAATCGGGAGTGAAATGCAAGAAAAATGTGATGAAATTTTGGTGTTCTGAAAAGAATTTTGAAGGTGGCAGTTTGATTTTGGATTTGGGAAGTTATATCTGCACATCGATGAGAAGAAGCAGATGAGATAATGATGGAGATAAGGATGTTTATTATTTGTTTCCCTCTTTATTATTATTATTAATATTATTATTATTATTATTATTATAAGTGGTATTATAGATTTGGTAGGAAACTTATTTATTTATATATTTTGTTAGGATTCTTGTCTTGTTGGACAAGTTAGTATTAGGATTTTAGGAGCCTTATTTAAAGGACTCATCCTCTATTGTTTTATTCAGTTGAATATGAAATAAGAATTGATATTGTGAGTTTTTACGTGTTTTACGAGAGAGTATCTCGTTTACTCGTTTTATCATTCCCATTCGTACGCTTTCCCTACATCAGTTGGTATCAGCAGTCAGTACGATCGCGATGCCGCCGGGACGACAAGAGGCTGCAAACAAACAACGTGATGCAACCTTCAATGATCGGTTTCAACAGATTGACTACCGATTTCAAGAGTTTGACGTGTGTTTCACGGATTGGTTTGCCGATCTTTCGACGGGGATCGAGGATTTGCATTTGACGCTTAACAACGTGGTTGTTTCGGAATTGCAAACAAACCGCGATGGTGCTGTGGGTCGTGGCTTTCGCGGGGGAGACAGAGGCGGTTGTGGGGGACGCAGCCATGTCGGGGCGCCCCGGAAGTGGTCCCCACCACCTCTGAACGGCTTCGTGGACGGCGACGATCGGCGTTGGAAGTCTTTGTTCCACGAATTTTCAGGGGCCTTTGTAGACGCACGAGGGTTGGAAGAATATGAGGATCCGCCTCGTTTTGGTGACGAGGGGTCGACCGAATATACGGGTCCACCTATTTTTGATATTGAGGGGTCGATCGATTATGAGGGTCCACCCGTTTTTGATGAGGAGCCACCTGTGGCGTCGATAGAGGACGAGTACCATGTGGTTATAGAATTATCTGTGGGGCCAAAGGTTGTGCCTGGAATAGATGTTTTCAGTGAATAGGAAGATGGATTTTCTTGGTCTTTTATTCAACAAACATATATGTCTGATAACTCGCATAGTGTGCCCAAAAAGGACAAAGTGGAGAGTTGTTGTCATAGATTTTTTGATTGTGAGTATACCAAGTTTATGGCCCGTCAAATTGGCCCGGTCAGGATTATGGAGCAGTTGAAGACGAGATTGATTCGGATTCGAGGGTGAATCCTTTTCGACAGGGGGAGAATGATGGAGATAAAGATGTTTATTATTTGTTTCCCTCTTTATTATTATTATTAATAATAATAATAATATTATTATTATTATTATTATTATTATTATTATTATTATTATTATTATTATTATTATTATTATTATTATTAGTGGTATTATAGATTTGGTAGGAAACTTATTTATTTATATATTTTGTTAGGATTCTTGTCTTGTTGGACAAGTTAGTATCAGGGTTTTAGGAGCCTTATTTAAAGGACTCATCCTCTATTGTTTTATTCAGTTGAATATGAAATAAGAATTGATATTGTGAGTTTTTACATGTTTTACGAGAGAGTATCTCGTTTACTCGTATTTTTCCTTTCGCTCACGCTTTTCCCTACATCAGTTGGTATCAGAGCCAGCCCATGTGCCAGCGGTGACCGCTGGGCCCACAAGGGCGGGTGGATGATGCAGCGCATCCCACATCGGGTTTGAAAGGAAACGAAGCAGACCTTATATGAGGATGTGGATACCTTCACTAGTAAGACGCGTTTTGGTGGGTGTGTATTGAAGCCCAACCAAGAACAAAGCCGTGCGGGTGGCGGAAGTAACCCAAAGCGGACAATATCTTACTAGGGTCTTCATCAGTTGGTATCAGAGCCAGCCCATGTGTCAGCGGTGACCGCTGGGCCGACAAGGGGGGTGGATGATGCAGCGCATCCCACATCGGGTTTGAAAGGAAACGAAGCAGGTCTTATATGAGGATGTGGATACCTTCACTAGTAAGACGCGTTTTGGTGGGTGTGTATTGAAGCCCAGCCAAGAACAAAGCCGTGCGGGTGGCGGAAGTAGCCCAAAGCGGACAATATCTTACTAGGGTCTGCATCAGATAAGAAATGAGAGAAGAATTGACGACGAAGAAAAAGGGGAAGATAGGGAGGTGTTGGAAAAAGAATATAGTATTATTTCAAATAAAAGTTAAGGTGTTAGCATAATTGCAAATAAAAAAATATAGGTACTATATATACAAATAAAACTGATTTCAATAGTGTGTAGGGTAAATTTCTCATGAATTAAAAGAGGACAACAACAGCGGAAATTGGTTTCAGGCAGCCCACCAGGAGGACATCATAAGCAGGCCTTGCCTGAGAAAGAATTAACGCGAGGAACCCGACAAGTTGCGGTCCTGCGGAGGGAGACCGCACTCGTACGCGAAATGAGGATAATTATATTTTTTTCCTTTTTTTCTATTTATTATGTTATAATAGATTTTATTTTTAGTTGTGGGGATGTCGAACCCTACGTACTTGACACTATGTTTGATTAATTACGGTGATTGATTATTTTGCTATTTACGTGAAACTGTATGTTTTATTTTATTTGATCAACCATGATGTGTTTGATTTTATTCATGTTGATCACTTATATAAAATTTTTCATGTATAACGAAATTGGACTTGCAACCCCCGTAGTTGTTGTTGAGTTTAATTCGTACCGTAGCCTTGCGGTCAATTGTAATAGCATTTGAAATTACTTTGTAATTAATTTATCAAATTAAGGCAACAATAAAAAGTACATATTAAAAACAAAATCAGTTTGCTTAAGCATCTTCTCAAATCAATTTATTGAAAATATAAATTAGGTCCAATAACTAATTGTGTGGAAGTACTATGTCAATATGAACCAATCATAACTTAGTTACTTGAATTTAATAATGAACAAATTTTGCTTCTATATATTATGATCATGGCTATTTTTATTCAAAAATTATAAAGATAAATGAAATTAAATGAAAATGAGGACCAAATTAAATTCGGGGTGCTAATCAGTTTTGGAAGAAATTAAAAGCATGTGTTTCTGATAAGTTACTGCCAAAATATTACTTAAATTTTAACTAAAATCTATTTTAAAACATATCTGCTCGAATTATATATACAGCTTGGTGCTACATAACAGTACTGTGTCATTGAAATATTAAACTAATCTTGCTGCAGATCAGTACTGCATGGATTCCGAATTATTTTACGTAATAAAAGTTATATAAAAAAAAAAATAATTATGCATTTTTTTTATATTAAAAAAATTATGAAAATTTAACTAAGATTCGCTTAATTATATATAGTACTGTCCAAGCCTATGGATGAGCGATGTCTGGGATCGCACATATGTATAGTACTATTACTGAATTTAAAGCCAATTACAAATAAATAAGCATAAGAATATTCGTAATCGTAGACAAGATATGTAAAATATTAAAATTATGAAAGAAAAAAAA